CCATTTCTGGACAAGTGTTTTTCAAGAAGCTCTTGCATTTGCTGCGATGCAATGCAGCTCTCAGCCCAGCTGCAGCTTTCCCCAAAGAGAAGGAAGGAGGGCTGTAGAAGTATTTACGAATCTTCCTGTGCTGTGCCGTGCGAATTACAAAAATAGCTGCAGGAAGGCATTGCATAACTACTCTCTTACTTTCACTTACTATGTTGTAAGCAATTTCCTGCACTTATTTTATTGATAGGCATTTGTGTCGAACCAAGGCTTATAGATGCAACAGAATTAATAAAAATTATGTAAACTAGGGAAAAATTTTGCCTTCCAGAAAAGAAATTGCTGTATTTTCCATATGTACCAAGCTAGATACTACGCAATGTACCAAGGAAAACAGACATAGAGGACAGAGAGACAGGAACCATAGATACTCAGTAGAATAGTAAATCTTCAGTGTCCACATTTGGTGTTAACCTTGCAAAAACCTTTCAAATGGATTTTTCTACAAGTACCTGCAACATTTATTTTCCATAAAATACATGAATCTGTGTAGATACCCTAATCCTTTTCCTTCCCAGTTCACTGCCTCTTTTCCTCACTTGTCAAATACCTGGTTACTAAAAGTTACATGCTACTCAAAGTAGTAGCTGTACTGACTTTTGAGCTCTGAAACATCCGCTCCAAACAACAGAAGCCGCCAAACACACACACTCACAAATCACTTAAAGGAGACACAATAGGTGTGTGTGGTACTAGGTCTCTCCAACTTCTTGTAGAAACCAGCAGCTCTCACACAAAAGACTAGTTTGTTTTGGTTTGGTTTGTTTTGAAAAGGAGGGGAAAAAGAGAAAACGAAAGGGCAAGAAGGGTGGAGATACAAGCCTGTTCATACCACAGAAGGTAAACTTTTATAAGCCAGAAGCTAAAATTCTTGCAAACATATCAATTGGCTGCCAGAAATGATACACATCTATAAATAAAACCATGGAATACTCTTACTTCTTGTCCCTAATGGCAGAGATTGAACATGATGGCAGCAGCAGCAGTTCCTGAGGTGATAATGACATTTGATATAAATGACTTTCTGGCTCGTTAGGACAGAGGGACAACCTTGTGCATTCTCCACTAAGAACATAATAAAACAAGGGGAGCTGACACTGCCATATGCCAGGAACTATGAGCAGCCTTGTGAGGCACCCCTATATGCGTTTTTATTGGCTTATTCTTTCAAAAGGGGGGTGGGGGTGGTGGGGAGTGTGGAGGCTCAAATTCCACAGATATTAATTATGAAAGGGCATTAAACAGCATCTTATTAAACATATTTCTTAACAAGATGTTCTCACATTTTAAAATAGAATGTATTCAAGAATAAAGACAGGTTCTGTGATGTTAATTTAAAAATCTCGTTTATGGGTAAGGAGAATCAAACCTTATATAGGTAAGTAAAGACAAGAATTTTTTTGTTAGTATAATGAACATAGCCTGTGCAGGAATCATCATCAGTCTAGATCTAATTATTAACAAAAAAAAAAAGTAATGCAGTTAAAGTACTTATTTACAGGAAAAAAGCCACAAGAATAGTAATATTCTGGTTGAAATTGTTACACACACTTGTTAGTTTCTATTCCTCCCCCTAGAGACTGCTTCTTTGGGCATTCAGATCAGTAGCTTCATCCAGCTGGAGAGGATAACAAAGACAGTTATCAGCCACTGGCATCCTTTCTTGCAAGAAACATGATGCTAATGGTGGTGGTTTCTTCTCCTTCTCCCCAGGATCCGCTTTGGATCGTTTTTATGTGTGTGCTAACACGTTTTTCCACCTTTATTTTTCTTCGCTGGTCTGCAGCTTGAGGTTACGTCCTAATTTACTATATATAGTACCCTTTACATATGTTAGATACTATTTCTTTGATCTCATTGTTACCCTTTAAATCAATTTTATCAAGCCAGGTATGCTTTTTTTTTTTTTTTTTTTTAAATCTAAGCATCAGTGAGTTGTTTATATCCATAGATGCTCCAGTACCCAAGCCTTGCCCCACCTCTTTGTCAACGTGTAGCCCTGCAATACGGTGTTGCTGTTGCCAGGAAGAGGTTATAAGCTTTGCACTGAGCTTGCATGGCCTCAGGACCGCGGTTTGCCAGGCCTGCTCTGTCTGAGCTTGTTCCTGACCTGCCTGCAGCTTTGTTTTGCTCGGCACTACTGTGACTGCAATTTCTTGAATTGACTGTATCTAATTTATTTTGCTTTTGTTTATCTTTTGTTTATCTTTGCACAGTACAGCTGGGGTTTTATGTAGAGAGCAGCAACAAGCGGTTGTTCTAGGTGGGATGAGATGTTTAGGACTAGGACAATGACCTAGTGTGGAGAAATACAGGCCTGGTGCAATAGCAGAGACCTTGTGATTTGGAGACGCAGGATGGGGCATAGAGGTTGGTGCAGGCACAGGGCGATAAGATATTGTGCAAATGCTATGTGGATTACGATACCCTTAAATTGTGAACCTAAAACAGGGTGCAAAATTGTGCAAAGATTCAGCAAGGCAGGAGGGAGAAATAACCGTTCCCTAGCCTGTGCATGATAATCAGGGCAGCTTTTACTAACCTAAAATATTCTCCTTATCGTATCCTTATTCTCCCTGGATTTGAACACAGTACAGGCTGGGAGCTATTAGGAGCTGTTGCTATATTCTCCACAACACAGTGTAATGCACAGCATGGAGCCAGACTGCAAAAAGCAGCTTAGTCACTCTTAAGTTTCTATTCCCCTACTGGCAGCTCTTCCAGCTTCTTTGTCAGAGTCAGACATAAACTGAAGTTTCACTTTCTGGTTCCTGGAAAATGACTCGCAGGTCACGTGTCGCATGAGGGCTGGAGCACATAAAAGGGAATCATAACAGTGAGCAGCACTCATTTGACTTTGAAGCTACCTTAAGCAACTGAGCAGAAAAGGAAAATCATGAGGTAAGTGAGCAACCCAGTCTCTGAAAGATGCTTTTTTTGCTACACCACGGGAAAACAATGCTTATTATTTACATAAATGCAAGCAGTGAGGGACGTGGGGAATCCAATCAGCAGAAAATATTTTACAGAATATTTAGTAGAAGAATCAAAATAAAGATGCTGTTGAATACTGTAATGCTATTACTTCTCTGACAAGGGCCAGTCTCTGTGAACAGAACTGACAGTCAGAAAAACTGCATGCATGCAGCTTAGGGACAAATCCAGGCTGCAGCCATAGCTGATACCCAGACAAATGGGCAACTGGCACTGATGCTTTTGAGGATTTACTTTCTGATCTCTACTACTGTGAGGACCAGCAAACAGGGCAGTGCAGGTTCTGTGCTGCAGCTTGGATCATAAGTGGGTGGGGGGTAACATTTTCTGAAGACTGTCACACATGCACAGGGGCACACACACACACTCAAATAAGACAAAGCCAGGCTGTTTATGACAACTTTGGAAACTGCATTTACCAGTTACGTGTTGAACTAAGCTAAAGTGTATTTGATCTCAGCATCACAAATCTGGTTTTGTGACATTCATGAATATTAATTTTCCATAAATGTCTTTTCATGAATTAATTTTCACTGTTTTCAGCCATGGACATTTTCATGGTTCTCATAACACACATGTCATTTTTAATTGAATCAGACTACTTAAATGCTTCAAGCTACTTCTGCTCTTCTATGGTATTCACCTGTAGTCAAACATTTCTAACAAGACAGTGATAACAACAGGAACTTGCTCTCATTTCTCCTTCATCCCAGAACTGTAATTACCTCACATACAGCTTTCTAATTAGGAACTGTTGTTAATACCAATCAAATACATCAGTTAGGCAGAGGATATTATTTGAGAAAGGCACAAGAATTCTTTAAGCCAAACTTATGCATTAACAGCGTTTATAAGTACCTTTTTTGTCTGACCATCCCTTCCATACCTCTATGTCAGATAGCTTGGGTGGAAATGTGTACTCGGTGTCTCTTTTTCTGGTGTCCTTCCTGCTGTCCCAGAACCTGTAAGAATTTGGTCCAGATTCCTGTTTGATTTACCTCCTTGTAATTTTCCAATCTTTTCACTCACTCCTGTTTTTTTTTACCCAAAAGACTTCTTTTGTATGATTGTGTGGTTGGGCAGCAGTACATGTTGTACCCCACAGGCTGTTAGACCCTGTAGGTTTTACAGGAGGGAGAGCAGAGAAGTCTTTCTAGTAAAGAAGGATTTGGCAAAGAAGCCTAGATTACAAATAGTAATCTAGTTCCTTCTTTAAGGGAGTTCCTTCTATAGTTCCTTCTTTAAGGGAGAGTGTAGCGTGGGCTAAAGCATTCTCGCTTCTGCATTGTAAAGGCTTGTCCTTGATGGGCTGTGCAATAAAAGCTGTTCTGCACACCCATGCAGGGGCACAGGCAGGCAATACCAGGAGGGGCAACCCAAATAACAACCTGCCCTGGCTGCTCGCAGGGATATGAGCCCCCAGCCTGGCCCTCCCAGAGCTGCCTCAGGGGACCCTCAGCCCCATGGGCCCAGGGGGCACCCAGCACAGGCATGCCTTACAGTCTGAGCTGCCTGGAGATGTGGGACACATTACAAGGTGCAAGGAAAAGCATTTGGGGATTGCACAAGACTTACTGTGGGATGTTTGGGGAGGGGACAAAAGGCAGGGAAATAAGGGATCTCTGATTTAGGAAGGAACAAATGTTGAAAAACAGAAAGATAAAGACCTATTAAGGACCAGCTGTATGTAAACAGAGTCTGGTCAGTATGCATGTGTGCATCTAGGGGTAAGGCACCTGGATAGAGACAGGTTCCCTGAGCAGCTGCTGGATGTCCAAAGCCAACTTCTTGGGACTCATAGGGTGAGTGTGTGATCTGTACCAGCAAGTGGAGTGAGGTGGCACACCCTGGGGGGCTTATACACTTAAGTACAAGCAACTGGGGAGACTGGTGTGATCCTGAAGACAGCTACTGGTTACATCAGTATAATCATGATTTTTTTCTTTGATTTCTTCTAGTACAATTTCCAAGAACTCCTTGAAGAGCTCCCTGCTGCAGCTAGAATGCCATTTTACATGGACTTTGCTGAAGCAGGATGTGGATGTCAATAACCTAGAGGACACAGTAGGGGATCAGATTGAGTTTTTAACAAAAAACAAAATCACATGTTATAATCTACTATCCTATGTATGCTACCTAAAGAATTCAAATGAAGAAGCCCTGAGAAATCTCCAAAAAGCTGAAGAAGAAGTGCAAAAGCAACATCCAGATGAAATTGCCAAGAGAAGTCTTGTTACCTGGGGGAACTATGCCTGGATCTATTACCACATGGAGAGATATGAAGAAGCTCAAACTTATGTAAGCAAAGTGGAAAACAGCTGCAAAAAGCTTTCAAGTACTGCTCGATTGAAGATTCAGCTTCCAGAGATCTATGCTGAGCAAGGATGGGCATTATTAAAGTTTGGGCGAAAATACTATGAGAGAGCAATGAAATGCTTTGAAAATGCTCTGAAGGATGAACCCAATAACCCAGAATTTAATAGTGGCTATGCAACAGCAATGTATCGTTTGGAACATCTTTCCTCCAGACAGCGTGAAGATCTAAGCTTGTCCCTTCAGCCCCTGAGGCGTGCAGTCGAACTGAATCCGAAGGATACTTTCATTATGGCATTACTTGCGTTAGAACTTCAGGACTTAGAGAAAGTTGATGAAGGGGAGAAGTACATTGAAGAAGCAATGCAGAAAACCCCTCATCTTCCTTATTTAATGCGATATGTTGCCAAATTTTACAGAAGGAAAGGAGAAGTGGACAAGGCACTGGAGATTTTGAAGAAGGGCCTAGTGTTAACACCAAAGTCTGCCTTTTTTCATCACCAACTAGGAATGTGCTACAAACTAAAGCTGGTAGAGCTGAAAAAGGCTACAAGATATCCACCCCAAGAGCAAATGAAGGAACTCACCCAACTTTCCATTTTTCATTTTAAAATAGCGGCAGACCTAAAGACAAATTTTTTTTCTGCCATTCTTGACCTAGCAAGAATGTATGCAGAAGGAAGGATGTATGAAGAAGCTGAAGAGGCGTTTCAGAAAGCAATTCAGATAAATATTCTATTCGATGATGATAAACAATATTTCTACTACAATTATGGCAATTTTCAGCGCTTTCATATAAAATCAGAATCTGAAGCCATTAAGTATTACCTAGAAGGGCTGAAAATTGAAGAAGATTCTGATGCAAGAGATAAGTGCAAAAATGCTCTGAAAAAAATGTTGGAGCAGAGAATTCATAAGGGTTTAGGAGATGCAACAGATTATGGTACCCTTGGACTTGTTCATAATCTAGACGGTGAGAAACATGAAGCAATTGAGTGCTATGAGAAAGCTGTTACATTGTGTCCTGACAATGAAGAATATCTGTGTGCATTATATGAGCTACGACTTTCCATCTCAGGCTAAAGCTCCCAAAAATCTTTGACATCAAAAAAAACTCCAAACCCAAGCACATTTCAACAGAATCTCAAAACTGTTTGGTTTTTTTTTTCTTTTAAGGTTGAAGTTATAACCAGATGAAACATCTGGTGCCATGACTGTCTGGTGATAATGTAGAAACTGCAGATGATGATTGTTCATTTGTTTGTTCCTTCACCAACAGAGAGCATGCTTGAAAAGACTAAATAATAGCTGAGACTAATATCTTTGTCTTCAGTGCTGACACTGGTACAAAGGTTGCGTTTAAGTCACGATCTGTAGAACACAATGTCTAAGATAGAAATCAGATCCGACTTTCTACTATGAAAAAGATAAGGGAATCATATTGTAACATTTCATCTATCCACATGAAAGGCATGCTTACACACCAACGGAATTTCTGATGCTTTTTCAAATATTCAAATAATGTCTTTTTTTAGTGTTATTTAGAAGAAACCTTTTTGAAGACTTGTTAAGCTTACCACATTGTATGTTACTTAACTATGGACAAATAACCACTGTTTGGCTAGTTCACTGAAAAGCTTACAAAATATGTATTATTGTTGTGAACTATTAAATACATTTCATCTAGCAACTCTTGTCTCTGTTATCTCTCTGCTGACCAATCCTCATGTTAGTAGATGAAAGAAAAGGAAACAGCCGTTGAAAAAAGTATCAGGAATAAAGTTTTGGCAGGATATGAAAGGATCAGGCCCCATTTATTCTCCTGAACACTCAGCAAAGCAGTGTTGCACCAAAGAATTAAACTGTGCACAAACTAATATCTGTCTAGTTTGCCTAAAATTGCTCTCTCAAGAACCACTGCAGCAAACATCTGGAGTGGAAGGAAAGGCAGTCTTTGAGATGACAGAGAGATGGCTATCTGCAGCCATGCCTGTGAAACAAAACACACAAAAAATGTACTGACCTGGATGAGGAGGGCAGAGCTCAGCTAGAGCAAAGAGCTGCACGCACTCTGGAAAACAGGGCAGCAGAATGCAAAGGGTATGTGGGAAAAGGGGTGGGTACCCACACAGTCTATGTGCATGGAAGAAAGGGCTGAAAGGACACAGAGAACTGGTGGAGGAGGTGACTGTTTTCAGACATTCAACTAAAAGTCAGTATCCTTTAAAACAGGTTGGCCTAATTTCACAGCATTGTACCTTGGCATAATAGATCATGATGCACAGAGAAAACTAATGCTGCCCTGCCAAAATGCTTCTGAGTCCTAGCCAGTAGCGTAGAATGAAGCAAACTGGTGACAGAGCCCATTAGGATGGACTTCCGTCCTTTGCTTTTTTGTTTCCAGCCATCCTGGTGCATTCCTTTTAAAACAGGTTGGCCTAATTTCACAGCATTGTACCTTGGCATAATAGATCATGATGCACAGAGAAAACTAATGCTGCCCTGCCAAAATGCTTCTGAGTCCTAGCCAGTAGCGTAGAATGAAGCAAACTGGTGACAGAGCCCATTAGGATGGACTTCCGTCCTTTGCTTTTTTGTTTCCAGCCATCCTGGTGCATTCCTTTCCTGAATGTACACACAGGATGACAGGCCAGAAGGAGTGTAAAATATGACATCAGATCATGAAAAGTCAAGAAACCTCTCCCCACTCAGCTCTCCCACAAAGAATCTTTCATAGTGCAAGAAAAAGTGATCAGGACCTTAGCAGTGTACATAAAATAACCCACCTTCTCCCTACAAAAGGTCTGGGGCAAAATCTATCCTTGTCTTCCAACCACCTGTCAGCTTCTCTTACAAAGGTGGCCCTACCTAGGGAAAG